ATGAACAGAGAGAATGAACAGAGAGAATGAACAGAGAGAATGAACAGGAGGGAGCAGCAGGAGCTGGAGCAGACCACAAGGGGGAGACAACCTCGCAAACACAAATCCTGACAGATACTCTGCAAAAACAAACTGCAACACTTTCCAAAAGTGGAGCTCCTGAGAGAGGAAATGTTTTTGTGGATCTGTGTCTTTAACGTGCAGACGTTTTACTAAATGATGCTTTAGCAGCTTATTTGAGCCAAGTTTGAGTTGACGGGCAGTTGACTTCACGTCCCCTCACGTTAACAGAAAACCTTCAGAACCTTTTCTTGTTTAAAGCTGATCAAAGCCTCAATGACCGTTACTGAATAAATAACGACATGGTGAAACCTGTCGTGAGTTTTGGTCATCTTGGTTTTAATGTCATGACATAAACGATTAGTGATTCAAACTTTACAATGTAAAACAACCCAACATGAAGCAAATTAAAAGAACACGTTGGTTAGAATTTATTGGCTGTGAGGAAAGAATATTGCTGCAGAGTTTAACTTAAACCTTTACATTTCTCGCGTGTTTAAAACAAAAAGGTCCTGGAATGCAGCAAGTAATAACTGGGAAGGTCAGAGTCCAGGAAGATAAGCTGTGCAGCATCAAAACGGATGCTTCACGGTCAAAATGAGCACCTACAAACTCACATGTGCACAAACACAAGCACCCTGCAGCTGGACGCTCCAGCAGACAGATCTGGACACTGGGAGGATCAGGTCTGCAGCTGTGTCGCTCAGCTTCATAATCCTCCTCAGACGCAGACGTTTCAACCAGTTCCACTTCATCTCGTGAGGAGGCAGATATGGAAGCAGACGTCAGATGATGAGCCTCGACCGGGAGGTGAACCCCACAGTTTAGCTGGAGGGGCTTGGAGTTAAAGCCAGCGTCTCGCCACAACTCTGTCTAAGACAAACCTCCTCCTGACAATGCTGACCCGACGGGTACTGGACTCCACGGGACCTCTGCAGGTATCTCGACGTATCAGGCACAGAGGTTCTCTAACTCGAGACCTGAAATTTGTCAAACATAAACTAGGAACAGATGTTCAGTGTAGATGTGATAAAAGCTCAGCATGGCCTAATGACAACAGATCCTGCTCCACAACAACTAACACTCGACAACTTCAAGTCTCCACTTTTACTTCTGAATGTTGCTGCACTAATTTAAATGGTTCAAAATCGTTTTAATCACAAGGGAAACAATTGTGCAACTAAACGTTTGTTGTGAAAAACCAAGCCAACACGATTCCAGAGTTGGTTCCCAGCGATATGTGAAATGATTTAGTTGTTTTTGTCAGTGTGACAATAAATCTGTTGGACCAAACGTCAGACATGAAGTCAAACATCTTCTTACACCGTATGCAGAAAGCACGACTCATGCACAAACATACTGATGGTACAGTCTATTTGTTACTATGAAACATATTTTATTGTGTGTCTAACTTTAAGATGTGGCTTAAAGCTTTCCTTTGGGATAAATCCTATAGTTAGTGTTGTCTTGGGTTTCCTGCACTATCCTTTAGTTCTGCTGCTATAGGCTTAGACTGCTGGAGGACAAACTGGCCACATTTCTTCACTTTGCTGACTCTACCTGTTTGTATTTGTAATTATTTACATCTTAACGTGTTTTGTTTGTCCTCCTATAGGAAGCACATCTGGACCGGACATTCTGTTTGTTTCTACTTCCTGTTCCTCTCAAACCCAGCTGGTGGAAGCGGACGGACGCTCGTCCCGAGTCTGATTCTGCTGGAGGTTTCTTCCTGTTAAAAGGGAGTTTTACTTTCCACTGTCTCCTTTGCACTTGCTCAGGATGTGAGACGTGACAAAGTAAAGATTCAACGAGCGGCTTCGGATGTTATCAGTCCATTAAATGGCCGTTATTAGTCGTTATCATCCCTATATGTAGCGGTCAAACGGTCCCACCTACCTCCTAGTAGGTTTAAAGGTACGTTATTATCGTTATTATTGCTGATAATAGGCAGCGTCACACGGAGGTAAACCAGGAAGTGTCTTTTTAGTTGTTTTCAACGTATGTAACCCTTTTCCTAAACATAAGCTTACAACTGACCCTGAGGACCAACCCTAAACTTAACCCCCTTACCCTTGTGCCTAAACCTAACCAAGACCCTAAGCCTAACCACCAGACCCTTTGCTCTAAACCTAACCATGTGAAGCTATTATCATCGCTAACAACGCACCTTTAAACCTACTAGGAGGTACAGGAGGGGCAGTCTGACCGCTACATATGGGGATGATAACAACTAATAACGGCCATTTAATGGCTGATAACATTTGAAGCGGGTGGATTCAACACAATCTGCTGCTTCTTTAGATCATTTCTGCTGATTGACTTTTTAAATGTGAATGTTTCTGTTCAGCCCTGAGACGACTTCTGTTGTGACTTGCTGCTATAGAAATAAACTGAATGGATATTACCCGGATGAAAAGTCCAAAGTTTCACAAACTCAACTCACAGGAGTAAGAACAGGTGTGTGGTTGTTACCTGCCACACGTTTTATTTAAAGTGGGTCAAACCAGAGACGTCATCTAACTGTGACTCTGCACAGCGGAGCAGTTTCCTCCTGACAAGTTTTACAGAGGAGTTCCAGTGCAAGCTTCTGCTGCATGTGGTTGTGGAGGAAGTGTGAGATTGCTTTGGCTATACGTGATCAGATGAGACATGAGACGTGCACAGAGAACGGTACGTGCACACACACAACCGTAATCAGAAAACGAAAGCATAAAACCAGAATAATTCCTGATCACAAGTGACACATCTGCAGGAGAAACATCCAGAATGTGCTCACAAACAGCATCAGACGATATAATATTCCACATTTAACTGAAATACTGGATCCAGCCTGCAGACCTTACCCCCCCCCCCCCCCACACACACACACTGAGTGTTCAGGATAAGCTCACCTCGGAGGGCTTGTCTGAGATGTCTGAGGAGCAGGCCGCTCCGATGTCAGGATAGATGGAGGACCAGCCTTCCTCTGTGCACTTCCTGCTCAGGTTACCTGAAACAAACACTCTTTAAGACTTCTGGGCCTGTTCGTTTATGACTTTGAACAAGTCATTCATAGAAATGAAGAGTGAATTCCTTGATCTGTAAGTTTCTGCTCAGGGATGTGATGTCAGGATGCAGCTGCAGGTTGTTGTTTTCATGTGAACAGAAATATTAATAACCGCTCCATGTTTGGTCTGTCTGAGTTCAGCAGCTTGTCTCTTTCTTTATTGTTCTCGTACATTTGATTTTTCTTTCACTCTAAATCAGATATGAGTCGGGTCAGGTCATCTTACATGTCCTGGATGTTCTCTCTGACTGAAAGGTAACAGTGCAACGCACGACGGCCTCCGTACAGCAACTTTAATATTCTTCAGTCATGTTGCATCTGTACAGAACTCCAGACTGTTTGTTTGATTTAGAACTCCCCATTTTTAGTTTATTGTTTAATTATCGTACGCAGGTCAACACAAGGTCAAGAATGCAATGAAGTGTTCAGGATGAGAAGAACCACCTCGACCCCCACCCCCCTCAAAACAAAAAACAAAACAAAGCACCAAAAGTGAAAAAGAAATACATCTACAAGGTCCAAAAGAAATATAGTAAACAACATGGTACAAGTAGAATGAATCAGTACAAACAAGGACCTCACAGGCAGTAACACTGCTCTATGGGGCCGAGGTGTCGAGGTAGGGCAGTCAACTTGGGACCCGAAAGTCCCAGGTTCGACTCCCAGCCATTCCCACATATTGTGTTTCTGAGCAAGACACATAATCCCCAATTGCTCCCCGGGTGCTTACATAGCTGCCCACTGCCCCACCTGGGTGTACCCCAGGTGCAATGGGTTAAATGCAGAGAACTAATTTCGCCATTGTATGGGAACATACAATGATGACAACACATAGCACTTCTTTACATGTGCTGTATTTTCTGCCCTACAAGTCACACTTTTTCCCATAATTTACATGCCCTGCGACTTACAGACTGAAGCGACATATTTATGGATTTTTCCCCCATATTTATAAACCAAATTTTGTCTGAGATATGACCGTTTCCATTCATTCTGACTGAAAAAAAGAGCAGTACTTCTTTCAGCCACTTGATGGCAGCAGGGTAGTAGTAGCAGTAAGGCATGCCATTGCATCATGTAATAGGTAAACGTGGCTATGATGACAAATTCAAAAAAGTTCAATACAAAAACAATGGACTTATTTTTTATACTTGATACTTTATTGGTTTTTTGAATTTATCATGTCCTGGATGACTGAGAATCTTCACCAGCTATTAATGATACAATTGGCTTGCCATAGACTCCACACTTTGGTTCTGCTTGTTGTTTGGACTGACCGTTAAACCAGCTGCACTGCCCCGGCGAAATGCAGCTGATTTGACCATTAAAGTGCATTTATTAAGCAAATGTTCGACTGAGACACACCTATGCTATCATTTCGAACAAACAAACAAATGTTTAGGTGCTTTTCTTGTTAAATTTTGAAGAAATGAGCCACGTTCTTCCTCCTTTCTTCCTCCCTCTGTGCACTCCCGGAGCACCGAGGCAGCAAAACTATTTTTGAAATGCAGCTGATTTGACCATTAAAGTGCAATTATTAAGCAAACATTAGACTGAGACACACTTTTAATATAATTTCCAGCAAACAAATAATTGCTTTTAAGTGTTAATCTTGTTAAATTCTTGTTAAAATCCTCCCATGCACGCTCTTGCGACCACCACCATGCCATTGTTTGGCAGCCAATCAATTTTTGGCACAACAACAGCCACATTTTTGGGTTGTCGGCGGTAATGCGTAACAAATGCAATGCGTCAGCAGTGACACATAATTGAAGGGGTGTATATGGCGAAGCAACGTATTTATGAATTTTTCCACTTTATTAGACAAATATGGACTGATGCGACTTATAGGGCAGAGCGACATGTACGGCAGAATATACGGTACATGATACTTGCACACAACATACACCACACAGGTGGTGTGGCAGACCACTGCACAGGCAGTGAGCAACATTTAGATGAACTGAACCATGATGGCAAGGCAGCAACACACGTGATACAGCCACATCATGCAGCAGCAACACACGTGATACAGCCACATCGTGCAGCAGCAACACACGTGATACAGCCACATCATGCAGCAGCAACACACGTGATACAGCCACATCGTGCAGCAGCAACACACGTGATACAGCCACATCGTGCAGCAGCAACACACGTGATACAGCCACATCGTGCAGCAGCAACAAACATATTAGGTGTCACAGATGTGACTCAGTTCTGTCGAGCCAGTACACAGAGAAGTCATCCGGAGTCACAGCACAGTTGGGAATGGATGGCTCCAGCCATGTTTCCATAAAGGCAAAGACACAACAGCTTCTTGTGTCCTGCTTGCAATAAATCTGTGCATGCAGGTCATCCAGTATATTCCCTAGAGACTGAATGCCTGATAGCAGGACTGAGAGGAGAGGGGGTTTGCTGCATCTCTGGCGGGTCCTGCACAAAGCACAGGCTCGCTTCCCTCTCTGTGTTTTCCTGTCACGGTGCTCAGGTAAACCAAGGACCCAGGGGAAAATGACTTTCACGGAGTCCCCAAATGTCTTCAAAAGTCATCCCAAAGTCCCCACTCACTGACGATCGCAACTTCAAAAGTGCGTTGCGGTCATACCTGTAGTGTGCGAGTGCAGAGCAGGTGCAAAAAGTCAAAACAAAAACAACAACGAACAACAAAGTGTGAGTCAAACTGAAGCTCTCATCAGTTTAATTAAAATACGACATGTGCAAAACATTTTACCGAGCTCGTTAGTGCCCACCCTTTAGGGGTGGCAGGTCATCCAGGTTTGAAACCTAGGTTTTAGAGTAGTGGAAGACTTTTCTTGCATAAATTAAGTAAAAAAAAAAAGTTTCAGTTCAGACTTGCACAACATTTTTAAAGAGCCTATTCTTAAAAACATTTCAAATAAAACTTTCACTGTTGACTTACGGCATGTGTTCACATAAAAATGTTTTTTTATATAGAAATATTCAGTTTGTTTGTGTGTGATTCACACAAACATCTGCATCCAAACTGCAGTCTGAACTTTGGGTCTCGTGTTTCCTTTCTGTCTGACAGGTTACAGAGGAAAACTCTTGAACTTTAATCTGTAAATAAAATGTCCCCGGGGACTGAGAGCCACGCTGGAGGTCCTCAGCTGCTGGCAGCAGACGTCCACTCTAAACAAAATCATTGTAAATACACTTGATTTGTTCACAATGCTGGCTGACACTTTGTTCACATCAACACAGCTGCGTATGGTGGCTGCAAGGGACAAAAATACTGAAAAATCTGTAAATACGTACGTACATCTAAACATTATTCTTCATACTACTAGTGATGGAAAAACTTCTGCTGAAGTACATTTGTATTTAGGTGAAAAAGAATTCAGTCACATTTATTGCTAAATAAGTTTAAAGTGTTAGTGTTCATTGAAGGAATGCATATCACTCATCATTCATTTAGCCAGAGATTTAGACTAAAATCATCTGATGAGGAGGATGGGAGCCATTTTAATCAACCCTGGGACACAACTTTAACCTCCTGACTACCAGCAGTTCAAATTTGTCCTCTGTGAAGGACATTTGTAAACCTGAATATCTCCCACCCACATCATACTACTGAATTAACTCATTTGCTCTCTACAGAGGACATTAGGGCTTTTCAGTGATACCAAATGTGAAGGGGTGCGTCTTTGGTACCTTTCTCTTCCTCAACAAAGTTCATGCTCTATCATCCAGGTACCAAATCCAATAATGCTCAGTCAGGTCTTCTGGACAGTTTATTTTCAGGAAAATGGCATCTGTCTGTGCAAGCACATTTTATGGGAAGAGGAAAAGCCACACCATCTGGTCTGGTCTTAGACTTGGTGGTCTACCAAGGCAAAACTACTGTCAGAGTTTCAGGAGGAAAGGGCACTGGAGAACAAGCTGTTCTTCATTTGGCAGAGTCTGTTCCCCAAGGAACCCACATGTTCTTTGACAAGTTCTTTACAAGGCTCAGTCTCCTCAACACCCTGATGACAAAAAGGCTGACAGGGACTGGAACCTTCATGAATAACAGGGTTCCAAAGGAATGCAAGATCATAGAGGATAAGCTCTTCAAAAAGAAAGGAAGAGGGTCATCAGAGATGGTGCTCAGATGAAGCCCTCCTGAAGTGGCTGTCACAAAGTGGCTGGACAACAAGCCAGCTGTCATGCCATCCTCTGTCTATGGCAGTGAAGCTCAGGACACACACAGAAGAGGGTCCAAGAAAGACAAAAGTTTTGTCCAGATGTCCAGGCCACTGGCAATTATTGAGTACAACACCAGCATGGGTGGCATGGACTTGGTTGACTGGATGTTGAGTTTCTACAGGATGGCTTCTCACACTCAGAAATGGACAGTGCGTGCAGTTTTCCACTTTTTTGAGCAGGCAGTCAGGCATCTCTCAAGCAGGCTCTCCTTGTTTCTTTGACTTGAGAAAGCTCCTCGGATGAGGAGCGAAACATGGTCAGTTACAAATAAAGTCCAGTTGTTTTGTTTTTAACTTTTTTTGGATTTACTATGTCCTGGATGACTGAGAATCTTCATCAGAGCAGGCAATCACCAACTTATGGCTTCAGTATGAGTGACTGCCAGTTTCTGGGGACAAAACCACTGAAGTTCTTTGACTTCAAACTTCTCCTTGGTGAAGAGTTGATTACTTGGGCCCAAGCAGGAATCGCAAGTGATCGCGAAGATGACTATACTTTCTCACGTCAAAAGTGGAAACCACAGCCAAATGCAGCTCTGAGACACCATGGCACCATCCATCTTGCAGAGACGGTTAATGAAACATGCATCAAGGTATCGCAGAACCGACTGCAAGAGCAAAACATGTGATGTGCACAAAGTGCAAGGCATTCCTCTGTGGCTCCAAGAAGGAGAATTGTTTTTTGAAATATCATACCAAATAAACACAACAAAGCAAAACAAAACTAAATAAAATGATGATGGACAGTTATGTGGATGTTAAATTCATTCTAATGTTGATCTTTTGGTATTTTCTTTGGTACTAACTGGTTGCCATCAAGGTTCCATTTCATGTGTGGCGCTCTCATGTCCACTGTAGTGGACGCATGATATCTCAAAGATAATTTTTGTTTTTCCTGATTTTTTTTTTAAGTATTGTATTTACCTTACAAAGATTAGGGGATTTTAAATATCTGATTGGAGAAGAATTATTTTCCTGGTAGTCATGATATCCACGGTACTTTGGCGAGTGACTCTCAGCTACGACCACATCAGAGCTGAATATCTGTAAATCTGACGGAGTCATAGACACTTTTATGTTGGTGAAAGTCAGATTGTCTGTCAGATATATATTTTTCTACAATAAACTAGTCAATTTTTAGACTAGCTCCATGTTGTCTACATGTCCTGAAATTAAATATCAAACATAAATTATTATTATTATTATTTTACATTTGAACTCTTTAAGGGCCTTTGGTTGAAAAGGAAAAAAAAAAGCAAAAACCTCCACATTTCAGTTTTTTAATTGACAATGTGACAATTTTGAAAAGGCATTTGCTCCATTAACATGCCCTAAAAGATTATTTGACAAAATAATTCTAGATTTTTGTGATGACCCTCCAGTTGAGATGATGCCTTGTTTTCAGTGAAACTCCATCTCAGTAGTTTGACGTGGAGTTATTTATTTATTGTTGTTTCATAAATAATTTTTCATTTCTTATAATAAATTATTATTGTTGTTGTTTTCTCAAATAATATACTTGTACCATGCCCATTTCTGTTTAGTTTTGTGCTGTTACTGAACTGGATATACCAGCAAGCTCCAAGAGCACAGTGCATCTCTATGAACATCCTGATTTCAGGCAAGTCGAATGGAGTCAACTGTTCTGAACTACAGAGTGTCAGACAAAAATTAATTCTTGGCTGATTTTTCCCTGTGAGATCTGAAAGTTAAATAAATCCATCCATTCCATATCTTCCACTTGTTCTGAAGTTGGGCCGTGGGGGGCAGCAGCTTGAGCAGGGAGGCCCAGACATCTCTTTCCACAGCACCTCTTACAGCTCTTTTGGGAGGACCCCAAGGCATTCCCAGGCCAACCAAAAGACGTAATCTCTTCAGCATGTCTTAGGTCTTCCTGGGGTCTCCTCCTAGTCAGACATGCCAGAAGCACCTCCCTAGGGAGGCATCAAGGGAGCATCCTTACCAGATGCCTGAACCACCTCAACTGGCTCCTTTTGATGAACCAAAACTAAAAACATCCTCCTCTGGAGGCGGAACACCTGGAGAGCTGGTGCAAGAAGAATAACCTTCACATCACTGTGAAGAAGATGAAGGCGATGGATGTGGATTTCAGATGGAGCAACCCCCTCGCCACTGAACATAGGAGGATCTGTTGCGGTGGAAGTGGTCTCCAGCTACAAGTACTTGGGTGTACACATGAATGACAACATCAGCTGGGGTAACAACACCACCAGCCTGATAAAGAAAGATCATCAGAGACTCTACTTCCTCAGGCGTCTGAGACGAGCTGGTCTGGGAAGTTCAGTCCTCACCTTCTTCTACAGGTGTGCAGTGGAGAGCATCCTGTGCTCCAGCATCAACGTGTGGCATGGAGGCTGCACAGCTGCAGAAAGAAAAGCTTTGCAGAGAGTGGTGAAGGCTGCACAGAAGATGTTGGAGTCAGTCTCCCCACCATCACAGACCTCCAGATGCAGGAAGAGGGCCACCTGCATCATGAAGGATCCCACTCACCCAGCACACACACTTTTTGCTCCCTTCAGGAAGGAGGTTGAGGAGCATTAAGTGTAGAACCACTAGACTGAGGAACAGCTTCTACCCTGAGGCTGTTAGACTCATGAATCTCTAACCAGAAAAATCACTGTGAAAAAAAGAAACATCACTGTAATGCCACTTTGATTGGTGCTATGTGACTTATCTGTGCTGCTGATTAGCTCATGCTGCTGTATTCATTCATACCCATCTGCTGTGGGAGTGGTGGCGCAGAGGTTAGAGAGGTGGGCTTGTGATCCGAAGATCGCCGGTTCACGCCCCGGCCCCGACAACATCAAAAATTGTGGGTGGGGTAGGTGAAACACCCACACTTGCCCCCACCCTCATTCGCCCCACTCTGGGCCCATGAGCAAGGCCCTTAACCCCCACCATGTGCTCCCTAAACAGGTCTCTCTTGAAAATAAGTTCTCGTGGCTCAATGAGACTAACCTGGATAAATAAAGGCTAAATGAAAAAAAAAAATATATACCCATCTGCTCACCACAGACATGTGCGGGCTGCTGTTTAATACCATATTATTTTACATTATTAGTATTTAGTGTATATCTTAGATCCTTATATATTTTTATTGCTATTTTGGGGTGTAACTGGGACCTTGATACACAATTTTGTTCCACCTCATGTACCACATGTGATGTGAATGACAATAAAGAACCTTGAACTTGAACTCTGAGTATCTCCCAAATAACTGAACTTCTCACTCTATCTCTAAGGGAGAGTCCAGCTACCATGTAATCTCACTACCCAGAGTTGGTGACCATAGGTGTGGGTTGGAGTGCAGACCAACCAGTAAACAGAGAGTTATGCCTTACAGCTCAGCTCCCTCTTCACCACAATGGACTGGTACAGAGTCCACAATACAGATGCTGCACCAGTCAGTCTGACAATCTCACACTCCATTCTTCTCTCTTTCATGAACAAAACCCAGAGATACTTGAACTCCTCCACTTGAGGCAGAACCTCACCCTCGACCTGAAGAAAGCAATCCACCTTTTTCCAACTGAGGACCGTGGTCTTGGATTTGGAGGTGCTGATTCTCATCCTAGCCACTTCATACTCAGCAGCAAACCACTCCACTGAGAGCTGGAGATCACAGGCCAGTGACGCCAACAGGACCACACGATCTAGAAAAAGCAGAGGCGGAATCCTGAGGTCACTGAACCGGAATCCCTCGGCCCGCTGGCTGCACCAAGAAATTCTGTCCATAAAAGTTATGAACAGAACCGATGACAATGGGCAGCCCTGATGGAGTCCAACTCCCACCCTGAAGGGGTCCAACTTACTACCGGCAATGCAAACCAAACTCTTTCCCCACTTGTATAGGGACCGAAGGCTCATAGCAATGGGCCCCCAATTACATACTCATGGAGCACCACCCACAGTGTACCCAGAGGAACATGAATGCCTTCTCCAAGTCCACAAAGCACATGTAGACTGGATGGGCAAACTCCCATGACCCCTGGAGGAAAGAGCTGGTCCGGTCTTGCACAGTCAGGATGGAACCCGCATTGTTCCTCCTGCATCTGGGGTCCGACCAGTGATTGGACTCACTTTAAATAAATCTGTCCATAAGTAATGCTGGAATTTAAGCAAATATCAGTATTTTATTCAGTTTCTGTTATTTTGATTTACTAAATGCAGATGTCATTTGAATATAAAACTAAACAATTCCATTTTTCTCCTTATATTTCTGCTGTGTGTTAGTGTGTGTGCATGCATGTGTGCATGCGTGCGTACGTGTGTGCATTTGTGTGTGTGTCAAAGAAACTCACCATTTTTGCCGAACAAGAGCAGGAAGGGGGAGGGACACGGGAGGGTCATCACCTCGCCGACCGCTACGTTGAGCCAACAGGAGACATTGTTCCACTCGCCTTCACATCCTGCACACACACATGCACACGCGCCCGCACACACACACTGCATGATTTGGCCTATGATAAGTTCCTGTTTAGCTGAGCTACTAGTTTCAAACTGACTTCAGCACATAAGTCAGGTTCAGATAAAAACTTCCTGCTGCCTCGATGACGTTTTGACACTTTGTTCTTCAGTCAGAAAATTCAGCCTCTTTCATACTGTAATGATTTATTGAAAAATCTAAAATAAACTAATCTAAAATGAAGAAAAGTGAAGCTTTTTATATTTTTACTACTTCTATCTTTATTTTAAGTCACATTTGGTGTTTTAATAACTTACAAGAAAAAAGTTCTATGTGCCGTCATTATTGTTTGTTCCCACAATGACGGAATTTGTGCTCTGCATTTAACTCATCACACGTGGGACACATGCAGGTGCGAAGAGCATTTTAAGAGCTGTTTACCCCGCTTACTTTATGTTGAGAACATTTGTTTGCCTCCAATCAACTGCAAAAAGTTAGATTAGCTCAGATATTCCTGATTGATCAGGGAAAGTATTTCACTTCTTATAACAAGTTACAATTGAAGAGACATGACATTTGTCTAAATACGGGAGTTAACGACCACTGCTTAAAGCTAAATGACAGGTAATAAAGTTGTCACCTGTGTCTTAAAATTTCTCTAATATGTAGATTATTAACTATTGTTAAATGTTATTAAATGTG